TCAAGCCAATCTGTCCTGGTTCATTCCTGGCCAACAGAACAAAATCAGAACACTCAAATTTTAAGAATTCAGGTGACACAGGACAAATGTAACTGGAACCAGAAAAATTGTGGGTCAGAGCACTGGGCTGGGAGACTCGGGAAGAGTCATGAGCCCTTTCAGGAGCCCGCTCTGGGAGGTGGGCACCCAGGCCATCTTCTCACCAGGGGAGGGTATTTCTGGCAACCATCTGAGATTTGCTGCATCAAACTGGAAAGAACAGGCCAGAAGCCCTGTGGGTGGCCAACACAGTCAGAGAGGGTAGAGGGGTCCTGTAGTGAGAAGAGCAAGGCAGATGACCGCCTGTCATAAATAGCACCCTCAGGAGAATCTCACTGCTAGGCTGTGGGTGCAACCTTGGGGAGGGGTATGTGACAACCTGAAAAGTGTTTTAGTAGTATTGCCGTGGGGCGGAATCCCTTTGAAAGCAAGGACCGGCATTGAACTCTGATATTACTCTCTTGCTGTCGAGTTGGCCTGTTGTTTAATTCTGATGGATTCGATGCTTAGCGATGTATTCTTTATTTCCTTAACCTCCTGGGCGGGGTTTTCCCTTTTGTCCATGAGAATTCTTCCTGCCTTGAACTGTCTGAATGGAATCCCCTGACCTACAGGGTCACTTCTAGTTTGGTAATTAACAAATTGCCTCTTAACTCCATTTCTGTCCATAGACTTCCATGGATGCTAACGTACCATTTAATAAGATGTCAAGAAATAGTTTGGAGGCGTCGCCTGGCAAAATGGCAGAGCCCTTTAATTTCGAGAAAAATGAAAGCAAGCTCCCACTACCGGATTCCTTAAGAAGCCCGGGGGGACACCCTCACCACCCCAATTTCAGGTTGAAAAGCCCGGAGAGTGGAAATAAAAAGAACAGCTTTCTGCTTGGTGAGCAAGCCAAACAGTACTTGGCTCGTCAGGAAGACCTCGCCGGATCTTCAAGCCCCAAAGGCATCAATGGAGAAATGGGGCCAGCCAAAGGAGACTGGGAGACCGGTGAGTGGGCACCTGATGCCTTCCTGCTTCTTGATTCTGAGGGCTCTGGGGCTTGGCCAACGGGCCTATGGGCTGGCAGCAGGGCAGCCACATGACCCACCAGTCAGTGTGTGCACGTAGACATTTATGTACAAGAAAAACGCCTTGTATCGGGTATCTCGCCGAAGGACTCCTGGCAGAGATTACCTTATTTCCTTGAAGTGGTGACAAGCCTCTAGAAAACTGCAGGAGGGGAGGTCTGCTCTCCCACAGTCAGCTCATTTGAGTAGGGAAGTAGAATGCACGGAAACAGCGGGCTTTTCATGGGTATTCTAAAGATTGCCCATGTTTTAATGCCATGCAATTGTTCTGCGTCTAAGCCCGTTGCAATTGAGCCCATTCAAGGAATGAGCTAGAACAGAGCTTCCCCCTCGGGACTCCAAGGCTGGAATCTTGATAGAAGCAAACAAACTCTGCCTCTTTCTCCCCAAGAAGGGCTGGTGACCTCAAGTCTCTGGCCCCCTAGCTAGCAGCCAAGCGCTTTACCACAGTGCCACCATCACTCCTTTGTGAGTACAGTGGTAGATAGATCTAAAACATTACCCTGTTAAGTTTGATTTTTTTTTCCTTTTTAAAAGAAAAAAAATCATTCTTCCATCCTAATTCTAGAGACCTGCCGTTTTAGGAACCCTCGAACCTGTTGGAATCTAGTCCCGCCAGTGTTTCTGAAACAAACCGTTTTCTTCACAGTACTGTTTGCCCCCTTTGCTGTGTTAGTTTTATCTTAGTGATACCAAAGCAAGGCTGGGTGAATGCCAGCGCCAACTCCGCGTCAGGCCACAGCCACCGACCCTGCCACGCACTTCTGTCGCATGCTCAACAAAAGCCAAAAGGCTCTTGACGAAGCAACAAAGGGATTGATTTTTAGCCCTAGTAAATCCCAAGTAGTCTATTTTTAGTATTTCGAGACAAATGAAAGTGGGCGCGTGATCTTTCTGGAGCATGAGCCAGTGTCTACAGCCCACTGCAACTGTGCGGAGAAGGGCCAGCGCGATGGGTCTCCAGGCTTCCCCTCCCTGGTAGGCAGGTTCTTGAGGAAGAACGCGGTGAGCCTGTCGCTTCCCAGGGCAGCATCGATAGTGTTTGTCACTAGGGATCCACTTTGAACTTTCACACGAAAATGAGATTTTCAGAAACACTCTTGGCCCCGCTCTGAGAGCTGGACAGCCTGGCCGCCCCAAGACCCAGCGCTCCCTGATGTGACGGGGCGATCTGAACAAGAACGACCCTGTCGGGCTGTGCCCGCGAAAGTGTGTTCACACTGGACAGAGAACGTGTTTCCCCAAGGAATCGTGAGGTTGCACATGCGTCTCTGGGGAAGATATTCCATCCAAAGTACAAGAGAAACCAAACCAGCGGATGTGGTGTCACACTGTGAGCAGCTACTCCAATTGGTCTTAAGTTCCACGGCCCAAAGGACCCCTGATGAACGACTAGGTGTTGGGTGTTGGCCAAGGGACAGTTGGCCGCCATTAACGTCAGGCCATTGGGTACTTTCCGCTCTGCAGCGCCATCTTTTCGTGAGGCCTGATGGCCCTGAGAGGCCTCTGCATGCCAGAGCAGACGGCGGTGGGAGGCCGCCCTGCCTTCTCTCTGGCCCGGCTGTGCAGAGAGGCCAGGGAGGCCCTCTCATTTCCCTGTGAGTGTGGGTAGCCGTGCACCCCAAAGTCCCAGGCCAGTTCAGTTTTTCATTTAAAACATGCTGTCAACCTGTAATGGTTGTATCGTTTTATAAATGATTCTAAATTCTTAGTTTTAATTTCTCCTGTGGTAAATCATTTGAAGTCCTTCTAGCATAAATTCTCTGGGGCCCTCATGATTTCTAGGTGTCAGGTTCCTGACTCCAAACAAATGGTTGAGAAGCATTCCCAGGGTGGGACCCCCATGGGAGCACCGGCCCAGGCTCCCCATGTTGACTTAAGTGGTGGCCTACATAGATGTAGGCCGTAGAATGTGAGCATCTATTACGGTACTTTACATTTCTAACTATAAAGAAATATTTGGCTCTTTCTCAACGTTGTTTTTCTTCCTCAGGAAACTCCGTATCGCCCTTGAATGCTGGCAACACTTCGCCACCCCAGAACATCAGTGCCGTGAGTTGCCTGGATTCAGAGAGAGAGAGAGAGAGA